CTGCTCCTATACAGAGAGGTTTAATAATTAACCCAAATTCACATAGGACTGGTTTTTTTGCTTGCTTTTTGGGGGTTGTTTTGTTTTTAAAGATTTTATTTTTCCTTTTTCTCCCAAAGACCCCCAGTACATCGTTGTGTATTTTTAGTTGTGGGTCCTTCCAGCTGTGGCATGTGGGACACCACCTCAGCATAGTCTGATGAGCAGTGCTATGTCCGCGCCCAGGATTCGAACTGGCGAAACCCCGGGCCGCCGAAGCAGAGCGCACGAACTTAACCACTCGGCCACCGCGCCAGCCCTAGGACTGGTTTTGATTTGATCTGGAAAATATATAGTCATACAAGAAAATGGAAAAATAGTATTCATTATTTTTCCCCAGAAGAATCCTAACTGGTATCACTGTCTTGGAGTCTTTCACCACTATATTCCAAACTACACACCACTAGCACCACAAACAAACAGTCATAGAATACTACTTTCACTGTGGTACTTCTGAATTTGAATGACTCCTCAATATCCAACAGATCAAATTTCAACTTCTCAGTCTGGTTTTCAACCTCACCATCACGCAGACACATATACACATTTTTAAGTATTTAAATAAGTAATCTTATCTCCAACTATTTACATAACATTTATTTTATTCTTTTTCTCCATCAAACTTTCCTTTAGCCTTGTTTCTGATTTGCCAAACTCTCAGCTAAAACTTTCCTATGTTCTACTATTGTTCACACTGTTTTTTTTAAATCATATATTCTGGCCCCTGATCTTTCAACATTTTCAAACTTTATGGAATGTCATATTCCCCCCCCCCAATAAGCTATAAATCTCTCAGAAAGAGACTAAATTTCAGTTACTTTATACTCTGACCTGGCACAGTGCCTGGTACATAGCACTCACTAAATACTTTGCACAGGTGAATATTCTAGGCCTACATTTACAAATGCAAACCTCTCCTTCACCTAAATTCAAACAGGATTTTATCTGTGCCTTCTTATGACACGGGTTGCATTCTTCAATCTAAGTTATAGAAATAAACCTCCTCCAATTAAAACAAAAAGTCTTCTTACACTGAATGTATAGTGCTGTATTTCAGATCTATAGTTGATCCCATTCTGAATAGCATATCGAGGCCCAAAGACTGGTCACATCTTTATCTTCTCCTTTCTCTCTTCTCTTACTACCACCTTCATGTCTGAGGTGGCTATGAATTTGGTGAAACAAGTCGTCAATCACCAAATACTGAAAATAAAAGAGAATCTTTTCCAAATTAAAAAGATCAGTGCTTATACCTGTCCTCTTTCAAATTTACAACTCAATGTGACTAGGAAAACACAGGGTCTCAGTGCTGACGTAAAAGTACAAAACAAAGATTAGAGTTCTAGGTCAATGATTCCCAGACAACTAAAAAAAAAAAAATTATTTAATTGGTAAGACTGACAAATGATTCATATTTTTAATTTTGTCAAGAAAGGACTTGGGACCAGCCCCGTGGCCGAGTGGTTAAGTTCGCGTCCTCTGCTTAGGTGGCCCAGCGTTTCACTGGTTCAGATCCCGGGCGTGGACATGGCACCGCTCATCAGGTCACACTGAGGTGGCGTCCCACATGCCCCAACTAAAATATGTACTGGGGGGATTTGGGAAGAAAAAGCAGGGGGAGAAAAAAAGAAAGGACTTAAAATGGGAGGGGCATTTTAAGTCAAAAAAAGAATATAATTTTAGGAAAAAAAGAAAGAACCCATTAAATTGGAAAATCTGACATTATGGCTGATTAGCAAGTTTCAGGGACAGTAGACTGGGAACTGCTATCATAGATATGTCAATTAGTTTCAGCTTAGACCAAATCTCTTTACCCTAAATGAGACTTTGTTTGAAATGAAATGTTATATCTTCAAAGACGTCCACAAAGCATAACACTAAAGCCAAACCAAGTAATTTAAAAATCAAAATAAGGAAAGCTTATTTCTTCCCTAGCCACCAGTCCCTTCCCTCACAAAAAAAAATCTTACATGTGACTGGTAGACTCCCCAAACAGAAGAGCAGCAAAAAGTTAAATGCCAAGTTTCTTTTATGCCAAGAAAACTTGCAAAGACCTTTGCAATTGTAAAGACGCTCCTATCAAATGATTCCGCAATTAAACTGTATATCAGGTCCCTATAATACACAACAAGAATACCCTGGTTTGATTTAGTGTATACAATCAGGTTGCTACAACCAAAATATAAACTTGCTGTAGCCTGCTTCATTCATTTCCTTGGAAAAAAGGTATAAAGCCTCTTTGCAAGTGTTTTCCTGTCTTAATGCAGACCAATCTACTGTCTGCCAAATAATCCTTTCAGGTTCTTTAATACTGCCCTCCCAACCCATCTCTTCTAAGAAGCCTTGGTAAAAACTAGGTCTCCAATTTGATAATTATTTATCTCACTTCCTTTTCAGCTTTTAAGAACCTGTGTTTCATTGTTTCTCTGTAGCGCTTGTTCTGTGCAACACTGTTATCCTTCAAGGTTTAAGGTAATTTCTCTGTTCTCTAAATATCCATAGCCCTCTACATGTGCCACTTTCACAATACTCGTATTTCTACATGCATAGCACAGCATAGCCATTAAGCATATGGTTCTCAAATAACTGTCATTGATTAGCTGGGTGACCTTGGGCAAGCCACTTAACATTAACAGTGCCTCAGTTTCCCTATCAGTAAAATGAGGATAACATTTGTACATACCTCATAGGGTTCTTCTTAAGAGTAAATGAGCTAATATACAAAAAGTTCTTAGAACAGCACTTGTTATATATTAAGTACCATTTAACTATCTAGTCTTAAAATCATTCACCTAATTCAAATCTCACCATTCTACCATAAATTCTTTTTGTGGTCCAAAGTTTTATCTTTTTCTCTTTTGAATCCCACTATACAGCTTGACAATGCCCTAAACAGGGAGGCAAGTAAAAACGTATTTGTTGAATTAATTAATGCCGAATTCTCTGATGGAGCAGCTCTGAGAGAGCTTTGTAAATGTTCTCTAGTTACTCGTCTGTATTTTAAGTTCCTAACAGTTCTCAAAATTTTCAAACAAAAACTAATCCTACAACAGAGGGAAATAAACAAGTACTCAAGGATGGTCTGAGACAAGGATTAAAACTTCTACTCTATAGCAGCTCCAATCAACTGCTAGTGATTACTAAGCACTGTCTCAGATTCTGAGGCCCTTACGGCCTCATGGTCAGAGCGCCATGATCAACTAATCTTGTCTACCTTTGTTTGCTGGGATAGTACAAAGTGGAGACACTCATTTTTTCATTACCAATCTGGAGTTTGACCCTAACGAGCCCAACCTCCCCAGGAAAATTTATTTAAAATTCCATATTTTCTCTTACACCTCACACAAGTTTTGCCTTTTACTCTATAACATATCCATGTTTACTTAAATTAAAAAATATATTTTCCTCCGATCTGTGAATAAAACTGATGCTCCAGGGAGATGTGTCACGTTTCTTCTGTGGTTTCTTAACCCCCTGGTACCTAATATCTCCAGGTGCAGCACTACCTCATTTTGAGAAACACAATCCTAGACTACACGTTTCCTGCAGTACATTGCTTTTGCATCCTCCCACTAGCAACCAAAATACTACTCCCTGAATAACCAGAAGTTATATGACAGAATAATAATAGCACCTATATTTTAATACTGCTTAAGCGTTTGTAAGATGATTTTCTATCTCATTTAATATTCACATTTTAAAGAATTCAAAAACATCAAATTATAATCATGTATCAACTAAATTGTGTGACGTTTGTAAGCGAGTTTTCACTTTTCTCCAAAGTGGAAGCATGATGCTAGAACATTAGCTAGGAATAAATCAGATAAACTTCTAAAATACGATGCTAACATATCTTCAACAGGATAAATGCTATTGCTAAAATTATCAGACATCGTTACAATACTTGAACACAAAAGCTGTCTTTCCTCTTATAAAATTCCTAATAATTTAAATGTGTTATATTCTAACCATATCATCACTGTCCTGGGTCTACTTGTGACAAAAATTGTATTTAATGGCTTAATGTTTCAATCAAAACAATTCTTTTCGTCAGGGAATTTGATCAAACGAAATTACAGGCCCACATGATTTCCATCCTAGTGGACTTGAAGGTCAACAGCAATGAACAGGTTACATAAAGCTAAATTGTCAACTCATCCTCCTTTATGTGATCAATTCTAAATACAAAACAAATTGCAAATTCTCTTGTAAGTTAAAGCAAAAAACGCTTCACTTTCCCTCCCTTGCAAAAACAAACTAAATTGGATTTATGGTGGATACGAGCCCCCACCAACGGATTTAAGGGCAGCAGGGAATGGCCTCTTCCATAACGCCTTACAAATTTGTGCAAAGACGATATATTGACGCAAAGAAATCCCTTCAAAAAGGGAGAAGCAGGGGCGAGAAGAGGGCTCAGCTGCTCAGAGGTCTCATTAGAGGAGGAGGACCCGGGAGGCGGGGGAGGGAGAGCAGAGAACCTCACCCACGGCGGGCCCCACATGTGAAGCTTTTGGAAAGACAGTGGGGGAAAAGCTGAGCTGCTTTCGGTTTAAGAGCAGAGACATGGCGCTAGGGTCCCCCGGCTTGGGGAAGATTAAAAGACCTCTCCTAGCAAGTTGCCCCCAGGCAAGGCTGTGCCCTCCCCTCCGAGGCCTAGGAAAGAGGCGCCATGACGGGAATGCACGTCCAGGGACGCAAGGCTACAGTCTCAAGCTCCAGCAGCACGACTCACCTGGAGCCCCCGACCCAGTTCATCTCCCCAAAACTTCTGAGAAGACACTGGGGTTCTGACAGCTGCACTTCAGACGGCTCCGTTCAGGGCTAAGCCACAGCTTCCTCGGTTTCAGCCCGCTCCTCTCCGGCCCACGGACCTATAGCCCAGCCTCCCTACAGCCTTTGCGGCCTGGTTAGGCTCCTTCCGCGTCTCCCGGCAGCCTCTGCGGTTTCTGCGCGACGCTGTCCTGATAGGGCCGCAGGGGACGCCGTGGGAAAGCAGCGCGTCCGAAGGAGGAAGAACACAGCAGTTTCAACCGGTCGGGCGAAGGAACCCTCAAGAAATAAGTGTCGGGCTGTGGCCGCAGGGTTAGTGTTTCAAACCACCCCCACCATAGTTTTATTTACTTTGGTGTAGGTCTCAGCCTTTTTTTTTTAGGTCAAAGAACAGACTGAGGGGAGAAAAAGAAGGCAAGAACAAAGATATGGATCCGTAATCCTCAAGATGATGTTTCCATTCCCACATCACTCCACATCCAAATCCTTTAAATATCTTTCACGTGCAGTTTCAATATTCAGTACACAGTTGTTTATTAGAAATATTGCGCTGTAGTAACTTACCATTTTGTGGGTTTCTTAGAGAGCTTGATCAAAACTGGGTTTAGCTGTAAAGACCCAAAGACTTTAAACACCTTACCGAAAAAAATCTCAAAACGAAAGTTGGATTTTAGTGATCGTTTCTGTGTTATGTTTGTATATCCTCACAAAATGTTTATCTTACACACTGTTCTATGATATTTTGGTTAGAAACTAGAAATCTCCTGTACCAAACAAATGCACAAAATGGTTTTTTTTCCCCAATTGTCATGATTGTTTTCCAGATTTTTAACTGGGCAACTCTCATTTTCAAATATGATACATTTTCTGTTAACTCATTGGGAAATAGTGCCTAAAATATAGTTGCCTAAAATAGGATTATGTGCCCTGGTAGACATCGTTTAATCATAGAAATACTGATTTTTGTCACAAAAATTCACCAAAGTATATCTATCATTGGTTTGAATTAAACCAAGTGAGTATAGCATTTCAGAACAAATTAGTCTTCGTCATGGAGTAGCTCATCGTTTTTCAGTAACTAAACCATACAGTCGAGTCAGAAGCAATGGCCCAGTGCGTTAGCCTTTCCTACTTTCAACATTTTGAAACAGGTACAAATTAACTAAATTAACTAGAAGGGGAAAATAATTTTATAGAGGATTGACTGACCTTTTAAAATATATTCTATAGGTAGAGACATAAAGGACAGGTTGACCAATCTGTTGAGAAGAGTCAAGAAGTGGGAGCTGGATAGAACCGTGTCTTCTCTCTGACTAGAGTCACTGCTTTCCTTCCAGTCACAGAGAGGCAGTGGAAGTGGTAATTAGGCTAAGGAAAGATTAATCTATGAGATACATCCTCAGACAAGATATTTGCTGGGTTTTCCTTCACAGCAAAAGACATTTCATTATGAACCAGTTATTAGGTGGTTATTTGTAACAGATGAAATATTGACCTAAGATCTCATCTTCATTGTGTTTGTGGCTCACATGAATAAGGCTAGCATGACTGGTAGATAATGAGTCAAATGCTGTGCTATTTTAGGGCCAGTAGGGCAATTAGGTAATCTCGGGTCAGGAAACAGTTCAAGAAAGGAATACAGCACAGATAAAATACTACTTAGCATTTGCTGAGAAGGAAATGCATCCCAAATCTTAAACCTTAATTTGTCTTTACTGCTAAAAATTATTTACTCTCTGGTGATTTACTATCTAAACACATAATACATATTATCTACATTATACATTTTTATTCATATACTTATATATGTAGGTCTCTTTATTATAAAAATTTATTTCTGATGTTTTACTGTTTAGAAAGCATGTAGTTTTCCTAATATATGTGTATATATATAGTCTCTAATATATATATAAAGTCTATTTAATCCTGCTCTTCCATGGTTGTTGGTAATGTCCACTGTGACACTGACATTGAGAGTATCACACTTGAGAACAGAGTAATTTGATAATTATTGCTTATTTTTTAACTTTCATTCATTTTCAAGATCTTTTTTTAAGATTATTTCTCCTCTCTTAAGAAAAATTTTAATGCTTTCCCATTAAACACATGTAAAGTTGAGAAGATTGAGTGGAAATTAGGCTGAATTATGTTTACTATAGTAACAAGTGACTTTTTTTCACTCTTTTTTTCTCACCTAGTTTGAAATTCAAACTAAATTAGCATTCTTTCTGCTTTAATTGCATGGCAATATAAAAAATGAAAGAAGTATCTTGACATTCTTAGTTTCTTACTTAAATACATATATTTCCAACTGGAATTATGTATCTGTTTTCCTATCATCTTGAATTCTTCCTCTGCCTTCCCTGAAGTCTTGAGCTTGGTCTCAGATGCTAGGACCAACCCTGACTCTTGGGGTAGGGTAGAGTGAAGGGTGGGAGTGGAATTAAAATGGTGATAGTTACATCTGTACTTAAGTGGCTCATCATTAGGTCAAATCTCACATTAACCTTTTCCCCAGTTCTAGTAACTGGCCTCCAACCTTCCCTGCACCACAATTCCGGTAACCAAATTTCTGTCTTTCTATCTTGATTATTTTCCTCATTCTAACAAGTCTTTCACTCAAGCCAATAAAAGCTTGTTCCTATACCCTAGCTTCATTATCAGTTGATAAACTGACCTACCTACAACTAAGTGCAGGCCTGATTTGATCTCTAACCTTCTTTGCTTCTAGATTTCCCACTGCCCTGCTCCTCCCCTGATGTGGCTGTCCTATGCCAGTGATGCAGGCCACTTGCCTCGACTGCCAGCTGCTTGCTGACCGGCGTAACCCTCTGTGTAAGTGTTCTGCCTGGCTGAACATCCTCCTATCACCCCCAGCTAAGTTTACCCTGGCCCTCCACCTGTCTTATCACAGTCAGGAGATGTGACATAAAGAATTAAAGTTTATAAGGGTAAGAGATCCTTACTTTGACACGTGAGAAACGTGAGATTAGGAATAAAAGATTTTGAAAATAACCACTATAACACTATGATCTCTACATACAGACTTAGAAAGTCTCAATGGAATGAATGATAGATTGTGCTGCTAATATGGTCAGCTATAAAAGAAATTTGCATGAATTTGCCACTCATGTATTAGTCATCTGCTGAATTGAATGCAAACAAATGAAAAGAGACCTGTGATGATTCTTGAAATTCATATAGGTACATGGGAAAGGAGTTTTAAAAGTTTAAGGCTATTGTTACTTATGAAAAGGAGAATAGTTCTTTATTCACAGTAAACTGAATAATGAAGATCATTCAACACTGAAACAGGTTTTATATTCTAGCACAAGGGTTGGCAAACTTCTTCTGAAGAGGGCCAGATAGTGAATATTTTAGGCTCTGTTTCATCTATCCCAGCTCCTGGCTCTGTGGCTTGAAAGCCATAGAAAATAAGTAAATAAATAAATGGCTGTGGCTGTGTTCCAATAAAACTTTATTTATGGACACTGAAATAAAAATTTCATGTAATTTTCATGCACCACAAAATATTATTATTCTTGTGATGTGTTTTCAACCATTTTAAAATGTAAAAACTGTTCTTATCTCAAGGGCCATAAAAAAATAGGTGGCAGGCCAAATTTGGCCCACTGGTTGGGTTATAATTTGCCAACCTCTGTTCTAATTTAATGCATATCTTCCCAGGCTTCCAGTTGACTAGAAGTGTGTATGTATGATGTGGGGGGTGGTGGGTGTGGGGAAGCAAAAATGTTTTTGCATATTCGAAAACACACTCATCCTTACCTAAACATTTTACATATTTAAAAGTATGCAGAATTTTGCTTGACTGTTTAGCAGTTTAAGTCCTCCATTAGGGATGTAGGGAAAATTTTTTTAACGCTCTTTGTTTGAATCAAATAACCAAAGTGGGAAGTAGCCAATAGATTATCTCTAAGCCTAAACAAAACAAGCAAAACAAAAGTTTGCAAAAGACAAAGAACTCTCAAAAAATGAAGTAAGGTCCCAGAGAAGCTATTTCCACCATCTAACTCCACTTGGATTCCCAAATGGTTAACTTTAGGTTATAAAGTCACACACCTCCAAGTAACAACTATCTAAAGGACACAAGAGGGTGGTAGAAGTGAAACACTGCTCTTTTTTATTCAATAGTCACCTTGTAAATAAATACCAGTGCATCAGATCTCCATTGCTAAAAATAGCAGTTGTGGGGCTGGAAGATTTTTATTGTAAGGACAAGTAAACATAGAGATGGAGATATAGCAAAGAACTATTTTCTATAATGCAGAAGACTTCTCTCCTATTTATTTACAAAATATGCCCTCAATTACGACTTGTCTGATAGATTCTGGGACTTCGTGAGAAACAGAGACAGAAAAAATAAAATAAAATGGGACTGAAAAACAGATCTATTTGATAGTTTGTTTTCTCCAGTGTCCCTCCCGCTTGTCCCTTTCCTCTCTCTCCCTTTCAGATTCAGTCCATACCCTTTCAGATTCAGTCCATACCCTTTCACATTCATTCCATATCCTTTTCACGTTCATTTCATGTTGGTCCTCTGGCCCCTCCTCCCTCGTCTCCCTAGCTCCTTCTGCCTCATCTCGTTTTATAGCGCTTGGAAATTTCCTTTTCTTTCTGCTCTTCCCCTTGTGGAATCTACTAAAACTTTAGAGGAGTGATGTATATTCTGAAACTTCTGTGCGTTTCTAAGTGACGCTGAGCATGCTCAGTAGCTGGGGCAGGTTTTGTCGCCCGCGGCTGCCCTGATTCGACCTTTCCCAAAATAGACATTTAACTCTTTGGACTCCTGCCTAAGGATGTAATTCGCTTTGCTTTCTCCTCATTTTCAAGGTTCAAAGGGAAGCGGCGAGGATTCCAAGGTCCCACCATCCTCACAGCCAATGAGGGGCCTGTGAGGGAGGAGCTTGGGGCGGCTTAGTGCAGCTTGAGCTTCTGAGGGAATCATCCCCAGTAGGTGCGGTGGAGTCTGAGCTCCGCTGCATCTGTCACAGCAGAACAAAATTGAAAAAGACAAAAGCAAAATTTAAAAAAAGAAGAGAAGAAATGCTGCGGACTATGGAACGCTGTAGGACTTTCCGAAACATTTGCTGGGGATTCCGGTGGATCATGATCTTTTAAAACCAGTTCTTTCTGAAGCCGGTTTGGGTAATTGGGAAAATGACACGTATGCTAAATGCAGCAGCTGATCGAGTGAAATGGACCAGATCGAGCGCTGCTAAAAGGGCTGCCTGCCTGGTGGCTGCCGCATATGCTCTGAAAACCCTCTATCCCATCATTAGCAAGCGTTTAAAGCAATCTGGCCACAGGAAGAGAAAAGAAGCAGCTTACCCGACTGCAGAGAACAGAGAAATACTGCATTGCACCGAGACCACTTGTAAAAATTCTTCGCCTGGAGTGAATGCAGATTTTTTCAAACAGCTGCTAGAACTTTGGAAAATTCTCTTTCCAAAACTTGTGACCACTGAAACAGGATGGCTCTGCCTCCACTCGGTGGCTCTGATCTCGAGAACATTTCTGTCTATCTATGTGGCTGGTCTGGATGGACAAATCGTGAAAAGCATTGTGGAAAAGAAGCCTCGGGCTTTCATCATCAAATTACTCAAGTGGCTTATGATTGCCATCCCTGCTACCTCTGTGAACAGTGCAATAAGGTACCTGGAGTGCAAACTGGCTTTCATCATCAAATTAATCAAGTGGCTTATGATTGCCATCCCTGCTGCCTCTGTGAACAGTGCGATAAGGTACCTGGAGTGCAAACTGGCTTTCATCATCAAATTACTCAAGTGGCTTATGATTGCCATCCCTGCTGCCTCTGTGAACAGTGTGATAAGGTACCTGGAGTGCAAACTGGCTTTGGCCTTCAGAACTCGCCTAATAGACCATGCCTGTGAAACCTATTTTACAAATCAGACTTATTATAAGGTGATCAATATGGATGGGAGGCTGGCAAACCCTGACCAGTCTCTTACTGAGGATATTATGATGTTCTCCCAATCTGTGGCTCACTTGTATTCTAATCTGACCAAACCTATTTTAGATGTAATCCTGACCTCCTATACGCTCATCCAGACTGCTCCATCCAGAGGAGCTAGCCCAATTGGGCCCACCCTATTAGCAGGGCTTGTGGTATATGCCACTGCTAAAGTGTTGAAAGCCTGCTCTCCCAAATTTGGTAAATTGGTGGCTGAAGAAGCTCATAGAAAAGGCTATTTGCGGTATGTGCACTCCAGAATTATAGCCAATGTTGAAGAAATTGCCTTTTACAGAGGACATAAGGTAAGATAGAAATTAAGATGATGGGTGAAATGTGAGACTGTTCGAGCTGCCACTGCAGTGCTAGATACCATCTGTTGTACTGTTGATGGGCCCACTTCTTTAGCGTTTTAGACTCCGATGACATCTAAACCTGTACTAGAATGTATGCTTCCTTACCCTTTTTACTCACAAGTTGTTAAAGAATTATAGAGTGCAAACTTTTCTAAAGTTTCATGAGAATAAAATTTTCAGCACTCAGTCTACTTGGCCTCAGTTACCCAAACATGCTCAAAATTATCTCTGAAGCATTTTCTTAAAACTTAAATCCTAATTGGTTGTAGAGCATTAGAAGAAAATGTGTTTGGAAACTGAGTAAACACATGTCCATTGAGATGGAAAATTTAGGATGGTATTCTCTTGTGTTACTATTGAGGGCCCTTTGTTTTTAAGAGAAAAAAACCCTGTCCTTTTACATGAAAGACAAGTTTAACAATTTTGCATGTCTGGTCAGCAGTGGAGGGTCCTCAGTCCTAAGAAGTGCAGGAGAATGTGTCTCACAAATGGCATTTCCAACTCTTAGTTAATGTTCAGCACCATGTTTGACACAAATAAAAAGAGGCAGTGAAATGAAATTTTGTCTGGCTTTGAGAGAAAAGCTAAGATTAGAGAAGAAATGAGGAGAAAAGGAATTTCAGAACGTTATTTCTAAATACTAAAGATTTTCGACATTAAGCAGATCCCTAAAATAGTTAGCCTAATTACATAATCTTCCAGAGCATTGAAGTAACCTCAGAATATTAAATACGACCAAATTTTTTAAGGTGATGCATCTGAAATCTTAATACAAATGACTTAGTACAAATGAAATATTCAGGTATTCTTAAGTTGAAATGGTATTTTAATTCCCAAGCAGAATTGTTTACTTTTTGAAGCATCATTAGTTATCAAGACAAATGTTTACAGTAGTAGGAATCTGAAGAAGAAAATTTAAAGCAAATTTAGGACTTCTACTCCCCCTTGAAAATTGTCCTTATATGTTGTATTAGTCATATTGACTTGTGATTCTTCTTGAATCATTGAACTCAGTGATTTAAATTATACCATGCTGTAGGCTTCCGGCATTTAAGACAAAATCCAGCAAATTGAGTTAGTTCGAAAATGGACTCTAATTACACATATGTGTGTCATGTGTTTATTTTCAAATATTTTTGGTGTGATCAAGAAGGATAAAGTTCTAACATTGTTTACTCATGTCTTATAGAATATCGTTTAATTTTAACCTCATGCATGTAATTTTGAAATAAAAATTATAAATCACTGACATGTACTTTATATTTACTGAGCATCATGGGTTTTTTTGAATAATATAGGTGTGACCAAATTAAATAATAATGACTCATTCTTATATTAATCTGTATTTTTTAGTTGTTAGAATCATAGATCATACTATACTAAGTAAAACAAAATAATGTGTACCTATCTTTAAAGAAAGCCTTCAGACATACAATATTTACTTTTATAACTCATGCTGGGTTCTTGCCTCTTTTTCCCTCTATAGGTGGAAATGAAGCAACTCCAGAAAAGTTACAAAGCTTTAGCCGATCAGATGAACCTCATTTTATCCAAACGTTTGTGGTACATCATGATAGAGCAGTTCTTGATGAAGTATGTTTGGAGCAGCAGTGGACTGATGATGGTGGCTGTACCTATTATCACTGCAACTGGCTTTGCAGATGGTGGTAATGACATTTATGCTTAATCTTCAATATATGTTTAGGATTATTTCTCTTGAAGGTGTCACTGCTGGTTTTGTGTGAGTGAAACTGTATATGTAGCCATTTTTCTGTGGTCATTAATGGTCAGAAACAAAGGCAGACTTTGCAACATCCAATAATAATACCTGCAATGTGAAAGGAGATAAGTGGCTCAAAAGTCCTTTCCAGTTGTGAGATATTTCAAATTAATATCTTGAAAAGCAGTGTAAGTTCTCTCCATGTGTTTTAAACTTCAGTTCTGCACATCCCATGTGTTTAGTCTGTAAATATTCTATAACTGGATCTGCCCTGTTTTGTGATTTGCAGAGTTGGTTGACTACATTAGGCAACTAGGAATATTGTTTTAGGAAGTGCTTCACACCATGGAACAAGATCTCCTCTACTTGTAGGTAACATAGATAAACCTCCTATGTAGCATGATTTGGTGGCATTGTGGGGGTAGGGGTTGTCAAGCTGCCCCTGTCTAATTCTAGCTATCACCACCCCAGTGGTTTTTACCAACATTTTTCATCTTTGGGATAACTAAGAAAGATAAGGACAACAAGAACAATATTAAAACATTCTGTAATACTTGAGATGGGAGTTTGGGTCTTAATGGGCAGAGACAAAGGGGAGTTAATTAAAGTAGCAGCATTTTCTGCTCTTCCTCCAAAATAAAACGTTCCCCCTTCTCTTTAAAAACCACTTGGTCAAAATTGGCCTTAGTGTTGAAGTAACTAAATAAAAGCATGGGCTTTGTAGTAAGACAGAGCTTTGCTCAACTCTTGGCTTTCCCTCTTCCTGCCTGTATCCTCTTAGTCATGTTAATTAAACTCTGAACCTCTTTTCCTCATCTGTAAAAGGAGAATTGGAAAGGCTACTTCAGAGGACTGTTGGGAGGATTTAACAGAATAATGTTTATAAAGTACAGAGCATGCTCTTGATGTTCTTGATACAGAGTGACAATTATTACCTAGGAAACAAAAGGCAACACTGAGAATAAGGTAACAGAATTCACACTATTTTACGGCTATTTTTGGTGTGGAATCAAGAATTAAGTTATTTGTTTGAAGTCATCTAATAAAAACAAGTAAAAAAATTACCCTATACTTTAATATTTTGAAACAGGGCTTCAGTGCTTTAACCAATTATTACAAAAAAACTTGTCAAATTTGAGTCATTCTTAACCTAAAATTGTTCATTTTAGTAAATTGGAATTTGTCAATCCCATGTGATAAGACTATAGATATACCAAATATACTCCACAACTCAACTGTCTAATACTGTGTTTAGACCACTGGGAAACTGAATTTTATCTATTTTTATGTTTTCAAAGTTTTATTTTTTAAAAAATCATTTAAAAAGTTTATATTGAATAAGGCGTTGTTAGTAATAGTATTTTTAGACATAATCCTTTCATTATAAGATAAAATAAATTGCTTTTTCAAAAAAGTATTGGAGAAAAAAATGACACAAAAATTTATGGTCTTGAGATTAGTTTTAGTAAGACACAACAAAATTATCAGATATTTGTAGTGAATCTAAGTATATGGATGTTTTAAAAGTTTCATATATAACGTATAGAGACAACACCAATGACAAGATTATGGTGTAGTTCTCTTAGTCCTTGGAAGCACTGGTCTTATTACAAAACCCAAGAGTATTCAACATAGAGCAGAGAAAATGCAGCTATTAATGGTGACAAATTAACCCCACAGAGACCAGTAAGAAGTAAACTGTGTATGCAAAGAATCTAACAATCTTATTTCTATGTGTGACGTAATAAGATATTTAAAAATAAATCCTGAAAATATCATATTAAATTAAAGAAACAACATTAAAATTTCAGATTGAAATTATGATAATCACAGTGATGCAAGTAAAATAAAGTAATTCTTAAAGCTTCTTTTCAAAAGAGGATTTTATACAAAGAGAAGCAGTATAAGAATTTCATAGAAGAAAAAAATAAATTCATATGACAGCATTATTATGAGAAGGTGCTTCAATATCTTCTGTAATTTCTAATGTTACTATATATATGCTTATAATGTTTGTACGTATTTACTAAAGACATTTGACCTACAATGATTTAACACATGAAAATATTGTTAGCGTTTTACTCATACAAAATTATTTTTTCTAAATAATGATATATCTTTGAGGCTTTAGGTGTTGGAATTACATATCATATATTCTAATCTAATCTTCAGTCTTAATTTACACTTATGCCCTGAGTTGTCCCTTATGTTAGAGATGAATTAAATACAGGATACTGTATATTTTAAAGCAAAAATAGGTGGAAAAAGTGGGTGAATGAGAGAAGAATGGCAAAGAGAAAAGGGAGAAAAAGTAGGATAGAGGAAAAAAAGACAATACAATAAAGAAGCAGGCCACTGTTCAGATCTTGACTCAGCTATTTAGTAGTTATCCATCCTTGAGAAATTTGCATAAACTTTATATGCCTCAGTTTTCCTCTCTTAACCATAGGTATAGTAATATATATCTTACAGAATTATGAAATTGTATATAATGTATTTAATGTGCTTTGAAACAGTTCTCAGCAAGTAGTAAGAATTTAGGTGGATCATTGTTAATATTTATTCTATTCTTACCATGTGGGCTCTGGCATCAGATTGCCTGGGTTCAAATGCTTACTCTTTTGCTTACTAGGCTATGACTATGGGCAAGTCATTTAACCTTCTTGTGCTTCAATTTCCTCATTTCTGAAATGGGAGAAATCATAGCAGGGTTGTTAGGAGGATTAAAGAAGAGTACATGTGTAAAACTTAGAACAATGCCTGCTTCATCGAAAATGCTCAATAGACATTTGCTGGCACGATTATTGTTGTTAAGAGAGCAAGACATTTAAAAGTGATTAGGAAGTCAGAGGTAAAAGTGCAGATAGGAGGAAGAGCCTGCATAGTTTTTTTGGAGGAGAAAAGAAAAATAGTTTTGTAGTAGATTTGTTATACCACCCACCTACAACTTCAAGTGAAATCTTATGGTTAGGACAGGATTATGTTTATATTCAAGTTCACATTACAAAATTGCATGTGGAATCATGCCATTTTCACTCATATGAGGAGCTTAGAGGTGATCTAGTCTGGAGTCCCAGCTTTGCCTCAGGGCACACAGATGGTTAGTGGAAGCACTAAGGATAGAAGACATTATGTGATTCCTAGTGTGTTACTTTTCTTACCTTCATCACGCTACCTCCATTTAGCTATATTGGAACTTAGTCTATAAGGGACTTAACTTAGTTTGAGACCAAGCAATCGTGGGAGCTAATGGTTGAAATAGAGGCATTGAAATAGTTAATTATATATAGTTTCTATTATATTTTCTTAGAGGACATTACCCCTTTCTTTGCTTTGTATTAAGAGAAAGACTGAAATTATGTAAAGAAAATAGTTACCTGGGAGCTGTATCTCAATTTTTTAATGTTATAGGCCACTTTTCTTCTCTTCATATCAAAAGCAGTTCTGGGCAAGGCCAGGGAAAGCTACTTATAGGTCCCTTCTGCCGGACCTTATCGCAGACACCTGACAGGCAGTGAAGAGAGCACCTAAGCCACTAGCACTGCCAGTAGCGTCCACATGTTGGTGATCTGCTAACGTGAGGTGGCACATCCGAAGTAGCAACTGAAAGCACTCTTAGGAATGGAACTGAACTCTACCATAACCCTCATAACATGGGTGATATTTTATTCCTAAAATGTACTTCCAACAAGATGATCTCCATAGCTCCTGCTGCAGGAGTATGTCTCATATTCAAATGCCAAATTGTTGAAATATAATTTTGTATTTGGGTCAGTTTACATATGACTACTCTCTTGTTGACCAATTATTGTCACAGTAATTATCAGTACATATCAAAGACATACTTTTTAGCAGTAATTAGCTATTCGTGTCAGTAGCTATAATTTTTAAAGTATAACATACATGCCCACAACGGCACAATCATTAGTGTACCACTCAGTGAACTGTCACAAAGTCAACCCATACACGTAAGCACCACTGAGAAGAAACAGAACCTTACCTTCATCCTAGAAGCTCCCATCCCAGAAACCCCTTCCCAGTCTTATCCTCATCTTCAGCCTCCTACCCCCATCCCCACTTCCTCCTGCCCCTGCCCCCATGCCACAGCAAAGGCAGGCATTTTACCGATCATTCATTAGTATTTGCTGGGTTTTGAGCCTCATATAAATAGTATCATGCAGTACGTATGAGAGTTTTAGTTGCTCCACATCTTTGTCAATGTTTGATGTGAGTCTTTTTCCTTTTAGGCATTCTTATGAGTGTATAAGCGTGCTTCATTGTAGTCTTAATTTGCATTTCTCTGATGACTGAGGAGGTTAAGCACTTTTCATTTGTTTATTGGCTACTTGGATAGCCTTTTTTATGAAGTACCGATAAGTTTTTTGTTCATTTTTAAACTGGCTTATCTGGTTTTTGCTTGTTCATTTGTAAAGCTCTTGTGTATTCTGTAATGAGTAGTTTGTCAGATACACACACACACACACACACACACACACACACACTCAAATCTCTTTTCCCTCTCTATTCTTGCCTTTTCAGTCTCTTAAGTGTCTAAGAGAAGTTCATAATTTTAATATAGTTCAATTTATCAATCATTTTCTTTGTTGTTAGTGCTTTTTTTGTCCTGTTTAAGAAATATTTGCGTCACTCAAGGTCATAGAGTTATTCTCCTATTTTTTTTTTTTTTTTTGAGGAAGATTAGCCCTGAGCTAACTACTGCCAATCCTCCTCTTTTTTTTTTCTGAGGAAGACTAGCCCTGAGCTAACGTCCATGCCCATCTTCCTCTACTTTATACATGGGACACCTACCACAGCATGGCGTTTGCCAAGCGGTGCCATGTCTGCACCCGGGATCCGAACCAGTGAACCCCAGGCCATCGAGAAGCAGAACGTGCCAACTTAACCGCTGCACCACTGGGCCGGCCCTCTCCTATTTTATCTTCTAGAAATTTATTGGTTTTTCATTTCACATTAAGATCATCAGTTAGAATTGATGTTTATATATGGTATGAGGTAGGGTAAGATTGAGATTTGTCAAGGTGGCAAAGATAAAACATAAATGACAAGAAATAAACTCAGATTGTAAGTCCAAAGAAAAAAGTACAGAAGGGTAGCCTGCTTTTTTAATTTTTAAAAAATTAATAGACAATTTTCTTTAGAATAGTTTTAGGTTTACAGAAAAATTGAGCAGAAAGTGTTCAGTTCCCAAATTTCCCCTCCTCCCATAATTTCCCTTGTGATTTACATCTTGTATTAATGTGATACCTTTGTTATAACTGATGAACCAATATTTATACATTAGTAACTGAAGTCCATAGTTTACATTAGGATTCACTCTTTGTATTATACAGTTCTATGGGTTTTGACAAATGTATTACATAACCTTAGTTTTAAATCCTTTCTCACCTTTTCAGTGAAATAGCAACAGATGTGACCGTGTTTCAATATATCCTTTTATTAGCAGAGCTGAAAATAGCAGTAAAATGAGAAGATATAATGTTAAATATTAAATCCTTAAGTGAGGCACTTTTGACAACGTATTCACAATATTTGGTGAGGAAGATAAAATGTGTTGATCTGGGATACAAAATAGGTGAGTGCTTTAGGTCATGAATTTATATCTCTGACACTGAGGAATCTACCCTTCTCACAGAGGTTATGCAGTTGGCTGTTGTGTGCATGGCAAAATACTACTGGCACTGCTCTCACAGTACTTTCCAAAGAACAATCCGTAGAATAAAAGTCAAATGAAATCTGTCCAGAGCTATTTGTAATTTTGTTGCTAAAAGCACGAAGAAAACCCAATAGGCATTAATCTGCCAATAGGCATTAATCTGCTAAAGCGACGTGGAAAGTACCATGCCATGTCAAACACCAGTTCATCTGTGCTAGTGTTTTTACTTCTTAACAGAGACTGTCAGTAAAAGCTACTATTTAAACCGCTTTTAACCCAAATTCATAAAAATCCCATGATTATTTTAGATCACCAGCCAGATTCTCTATGAGCCAAAACTATTCTTAGTGCTTTAACTGATTCAGCAATTCACTATTTGGTAGCTTGCTGAGAATCTTTTGGTAATTTTTTTGTGTCTATCTAAATTTTGTCACACATTTAAATGTAAGAATATCTACATTCTGTTTCCAGTCTATTTATTCAATCACATTTTTCACTCCTCACTTATACGAGCACTCAAAGCCTTTCTTTTTTCATTCCTCAGGGAAACTCACTCACTTCAAGGGGGCTAACAGGAGTCCTCTAGAGCAGTGACAATAGTAGGGCTAGGAGGAACCACATTGGACTATTTGTCCTCTTTTTTTTTTTAAAGATTGGCACCTGAGCTAACAACTGTTGCCAATCTTCTTTTTTTCCTTCTTCTTCTTCTCCTCCGCAAAACCCCCCAGTACATAGTTGTATATTCTAGTTGTGAGTGACTCTGGCTGTGCTATGTGGGACACCACCTCAGCGTGGCCTGCTGAGCAGTGCCGTTTCCGCGCCCAGGATCCCAACCAGCGAAACCCTGGGCTGCCAAAGTGGAGCTCAGGAACTTAACCACTCGGCCACCGGGTGGCCCCTAGACTATTGTAAAAGGGCCCCATGAACTCATGGTGATTCTCATACTCGGGTGAAATCAGTGCCTGACACCAACCCATGCTGTAACTTGATCAGGCTGTTTATCATTCAGTTGGCATTGCTTGAAATTTCCCTTCTCTGTCCTGTTGCTTATACTATACTTATGATCTATTGAAATTATGTGTGGTCTTCAAGGCCTCACTCACAGTCTACTCCTCCATGAAGCATTTCCTGTCTCTTGCAGCAAGAAATGATCTTTGCCTCCTCTAAACACCTCCCATTAACTCTCTTCATAGGCTGCCCTGCATAGTTATTTGGGAACTTATCTTCTCTCTCCTACCAAACTGTAGGCTCCCTAAGGAAAGAGTCTGAAAATCACATTTATCCTTGCATGTCCTATAGCACCTTGCCTAATTTCTTGCATATCTAGGTGTTCAGTAAATATCTGCTGAGTGCATTTTACCTTATATTATGCGTGGATCTCTTTCAAACCCAGCTGAGCTGTCTGTGAGCAAGTAAATATGAAATTATCTGGTAGTCATAATAGGGCACAAGTTAAATATTTGCACTGATATGGAGAAAAAAAACCTTTGCACTGAGATAAATCAGAGAACAATAAATATCAAAGTTAGACTATGACTATCTATATCACTCTAATTTCTTCATTAATTTTCAGCATTTAATTTAGAACTTTGGAAATAATCTATAGATGGGCCAGATAGAGACTCAAATTGTTGGAAAGATTAAAGTAATGACTTGGAGAGAATAATTTTGAAGAATGAGACTAAATTAAATAGATATGCGATAATAACTAGAGAAAATAATAACAGCTAACATTTAGAGAACTTATTATAGGCCATAGATTAGACTAACACTTCATTTGTATTTCACCTTAAAACAACTCTTTGAGATAGAATTGTTTGAGATAGTATTATTGTCTCCCTCATTTACAAATGAGAAAATAGGCATGGAGAGGATAAGTGGCAAGTTCTACTTACCTTACTACCTGCCAATAAGTAGTAAAGCCTGGATTCAAACCTAGTCCAACTCCTCTTAACCGTAATTCTGCATTGACAGTAATTTAGGATGTTCATTCATCTATCCATCCCATCCATGCATCCATGCATCCATTCAATACACATTAAGGAGTACTATGTGCTGGAGACTCTGCTGAGTACTAGGAATAAAGAATAAAACACACATTCTTGACCCTTAAGAAACTTAAAGTCCATTGGAAAGGCCAGCAAAAGTTTCCAGGGAAACCTTTACTAAAGAGTTAACTCTTGAAGAAAGAGCTAGACAAAGAAGGAAGAGAAGTATATTGAAGTCAGAAGAAATCATGTATGCAAATAGCAGAGGATAAATAGAGTATTGCATGTTTGGGCTGCCGCTAGACTGTAGATTGAGGGTTGGTTGAAACAGGTAGACAGAGGCTTGATTATGAGGGTCAGCTAACTTGCATTTCTATTAAAGGAACTACACTACAAATATTTGCTTGTATTCCTATTAGTAGTATTTTATTGACCAAATCCATAGTATTTGATTGCCTAGCTGTAATAAGGGCAGGGAGTTGAATTTGGAAAAAGTTAAAAGAATGCTAAATGAAAATAGTCATAATTCCTATAGACTTACTTTTGTTCCAAGTCTCATTCTAAAGAATAATGAAACAAAAGAAAGCTTTAAATAAAATCTCATACAAATATTGTATTTTCAATAATTCATTAAATTTCTAGGAAATTGCTGGTACTAATGAAAAATTTACATGTGATTGTTTTGGCCACAATTTCATCTGTATAAAATAAAACATTTAGTTACTTGAAAAAACTCAATAGTTTTGTAATTTGCTTTTAGATCTAGAGGATGGCCCCAAACAAGCTATGGTTAGTGAACGGACAGAAGCCTTTACTACTGCTCGAAATTTATTGGCCTCTGGAGCTGATGCTATTGAAAGGATTATGTCTTCATACAAAGAGGTACTTGCATTTCTCGTCATCAATTTGATTAAATTAAGATATATGAAAATCAAGCAAAATGTAAATTACAAGATATACTTAGTATTTTGGAAAGATTTTTCTCTACCAAACATTGCTAAGAGTATAATCAAGATAAAAGACAGCCCTCCCAAGTATATTGCTGCTAATACCCTTTAATTTTTACACTTTCAATTATAACTCCTCTTTTTCTGTCTATAGTATGACGTATTTGTTTTTAATTAAAAAAAAAAAAACCACACCCCTAGGTGTGGATTCTGGAGCCAGAGTGCCTAAATTTAAATTCTTGCTCCAGTATTTACAAATTATATGAACTTACTCAAATTCCTTAACCTGTCTGTGTCTGTTTCATCATCTGTGAAATAAGGATAATGATAGCATTGACTTTGTAGGGTTGTTGTGAGTTAATACATGTAGAATGTTTAAAACCATACATATTAAGCAGTCACTAAATGTTAGCCAATAATATTACTTATATACCTTGCAAACTTTTATTCATCCTTCAATGACAAGTCAAGCCTCACCAACCACCTCTAAAACCCTCTTGTGATTCCACCTTCTTCCCACCTTCGTTGCAGAGTCTGGCTCTACCTTCTCTGTGTTCACAGTACACCTCGTGCTTTACCACATTGTAATTGACTATCCCCTGCACCAGGCCCTGAGTGGAAAGCAGGAACTGTCTTACTCAGCTTTACATTCTTAATATCCATTTTAATGCTTGGAATGTTGTACGTGGTCGATAAATACTTGCTGAAAGAATGGTAATAAGACCTGCAGATATCACAGTGTTAAGACTGGAAATCATTTTATTCAGTTCAGATGTTACATAATATTCCCATGGACAGACATTCTCACTATTAATTACTCTTGTGGCTTTTGTATCAATATAAATTGCCAGAGCATCTTTATAAATTTAGCTGCCTATTAAATCAGCCTTGAATAAGCCATATAAAAGAGTTACAAAGTTTGTGATTTACCCACAAAACTTTTCAGTCTCACTCAACAACTGATTTCTTGAATTGGGTTAAAAAAATAAAAGTAAAACCAGTTGTTTAGGGCCACGTACCAAACCAACTCAATTTTAAAAAATTTTTCAAATAGTAATTTTGATAATCTGAAGACACAGTTTTGAGGATAGGTTTTTTGATTAATAAATTACTTATTAAAATTAAATGACAAATCAAAATTTTAGCCATCTCACATTAAAATACTTTGGTATCTAAGTCACAGAAAGAACATCAATTAGTTTTTCTAGATTGTCTCCGACACAAAAACTGATTACATTTTGCTTTATTTTGGCTGACTGTGCTTTGAATCACAGAATGTTCACTTCTAAAGAATCTTATTGCTGCTATGACAGCACATGAAAGCATCATGCATTCTCTGCTAGCTCCAGAGGGAGCAAGGGTCCTTTTTAGAGTTAGAGTTCAAGGGCAAACCCCCTGTCTTATATCCCAAAGTAATTTGTCCACAGTCACATTCTCAGGTTTTTTCAGACACTCTTTGCCCACTCCACCCTGCATCCTGGTCTACTAACTCCTTGCCTCCTGCTTTTCTTTAACTGACCTCTACATTTGGTTTTGGACTTTTTATTTTTTTATGCAAATATATTTAGCCAGGTTTCTTTTGAATCCATATTTTGTTAATCCTTAGCTCTGTTTTCCTCTGCTTGAGAACTCAGGAGATTTTTGTGGATAACATTTTAGAAATTACCCTTTAAATAGCTATAACATTAACATATAGAAATGCGATACTAATCCAGCTACAGACCTCTCACACAGTAGAAACACGGTAGAAGGCTTTTGACAGTAATATGCACTCTTTTACTGCTTGTTTTGCACACACAAAAATCTTACACAAATGTCAGCATTGTTGTATTATTCCTCAATTTATTGTTTAAGAGACATTTACTAGTGACCTGCCTCGCTTATTGGTACCAGTTTCCTAGTAAACATTTCTGTAAGGGAATGGTTTTTGTGCTTTCCTTTTCACTGAGAAAGATGGTCTTGACAGGAGATGAGTCACCTTTCACAGTACCCTGACAACAAGGTGTTCTTTTAATAGAAAAACAGCAGGAGATTCAGCCTAAATTGGATCACTGGCAGGATAGGAGCAAGGTACCACTCTATTGAGCCTTATGGACTAAAGCAGAGATTTATCTCATCTTATCTTTAATCTCACCTAGAAAAAAGTCATATTTAATGTTTTTCTTTGGGCATATAAATCATGTTTGGCTTGAAAAGAAGCTGAATTGTGGAATTTGGACTGAAAAGGAGTTGAAGCTTTTCACTGAGCTCACTCCCAATTTTGGTATCCTCTAGCAGGGATATTTTCTCCGCCAAGCTTAGGAATTTTGGCAATCAATTTGACTCAGAAACATTCATTTCTAATAAGAAAAAAAATGTATTTTTCTTCTATTTAAAACCTATTTTAAATTGAAAAAAGATATCAAAATAAAGGATCATAATTTCATTGAATGAACTTAAGCTTTTCACAAAATTTCTAATTTTCTGGAAATGAAATCTGTCATTTAAACGAGTCAAATCAGAAATTTGACTAAAGATTTATTTATTTATGAATATTTTATTTTTTCCTTTTTCTGCCCAAAGCCCCCCGTACATAGTTGTGTATTTTCAGTTGTGGGTCCTTCTAGTTGTGCTATGTGGAACGCTGCCTCAGCATGGCTTCATGAGCAGTGCCGTGTCTGTGCCCAGGATTCCAACTGGTGAACCCTAGGCCGCTGAAGCAGAGCGCACAAACTTAACCACTCGGCCCTGGGGCTGGCCCCAAAAGATTTGTTTTTTTTAAGATCGGTACCTGAGCCAGCATCTGCTGCCAATCTTTTTTTTCCCTTCTCTCCAAAGCCCCCCAGTACATAGTGTATATTCTAGTTGTAGGTCCTTCTGGTTCTGCTATGTGCGATGCTACCTCAGCACTGCTTGATGAGCGGTGCTAGGTCTGCACCCAGGATCCAAACCGGCAAAACCCTGGGCCGCTGAAGTGGAGCGTGAAAACTTAACCACTTGGCCGTGGGGCCAGCCCCTTGACCAAAGATTTTTAAGTCTCACTAATATTCTGAAATCTTTACATTTCGTTTTTAACCCTGACTTGAATGAATAATTTTTTATGTGTTTTATAATCCCAATCAAACTTACATTGACACGTTGCTATGTTGCTCTCTTGATAAGCTTTTTACCATTACTTGTTTTAGTTATCAGATATGTTATTTATTTTTCATGTATAATAAAATAGGGTCTTTAACATTAAATCAAAAAGCTTATATGATTGCATATTTTTTTAAGTCTGTCTTGAGTATACTAACTCTATTTTATTTCTCTGTGTTGGTTTTAGATCACTGAATTAGCAGGCTATACTGCTCGAGGGTACAATATGTTTTGGGTCTTTGATGAAGCGAAAAGAGGCATTTATAAGAGAACTGCTGTCATGCAAGAGTCTGAAAACCACAGCAAGAATGGAGCTAACATAGAATTATCCCTCAGTGATACGATGGAAATCAAAGGTATTAGACTCAAATGTTTTTATATTTTTCCTGTATTTAAGTGTTTATCAACAGAACTAAAGTTTTTTAGAAGCTAGTCTTTAACAGATAAAAGAAACCAACATTTATTTATTTAAATAGTTATTCCTAAACTTAGTATTGCAGTTTGAGGAGTGGTGAGTAACATTAGCATTAAAAAAAAATTGTTACCTTTATTTAGAACAAAATTTCTAGAATTATTTTTGGAAACTGCACATATGGCAGAATGAATTGTTTGCTTTTAAAAATCAAATAACAGAATTAGAACTAATGTCATATTGTTCTTCATCATCCTATGTTTTTAAACTTATTTGGTTATCATATTTTTAAAAATTAAATATAAATGTCTTAATTCCCTTTTTGGGGCACCGTGTTTTTTCTGTAAGAAAGGTTAATTTAGAGAAACAAGTAGTTGTAAAGAGTATGGCTGGGTTATATCAGATAGAGTTTAGCTTTGCTCTCAGTATGATGTTGACATTAGATTATTGGTAAGTAATGTTTCTGAGAAAGATTTTCCAAGTAGATGTGTCAAAATGTCCAAATTTACGTTAAACTTTTCTTTAGATATAGATATCTATATTTCACTTGGTTTTCTGATTTGTTACTGTGAGTTATCTTTATAACGAATTTATCTATGTTGCATTATACTTTAAGTTATTTACATAATTAACAATAACATGTGATAGCTTTTGTAACTTAAGTCGTTCCTTAACTTATATGAAAAGTTATTGATGTGGATCATGGAATTATTTGTGAAAATGTTCCCATAATTACACCAACGGGAGAAGTGGTGGCTTCCAGGCTAAACTTCAAAGTAAGATGATATTCAAGAATCTTCTGATTGTTGCCATCACACTAATATAAAACAACACAGAATTCATGTACATTTCTTAAATACTTGGAGGAGCATATGGAAAGGAGGGGAAATCAAGAAAGGCATGCACAGTGGCTCAATTACAGAAGAAGTTACTTCCTCAGAAAGCAGAAAGAAAGAGAAATTTGATGTCTACTGCTTTATTGCCAGGTTGAAAATTAAAATTACAGTTCACTGAGAGCCTATACAAGGTTCCCCAACGGTTTTTCACACTGGGTTCTCCCTCATCTGAAAAAACAGGCCAAGAGATTGTGAGGATCCATAATTAGTGTTTTAATACATTTGGCAGGACTCAGTGTTTTTCACGTTGTGTGCTACTGGGATCTGCGTCTTCACTGTCATGTGTTAAACCTTTAAATCTTGTCCAAAAGTCATGTCGTTACCTAGAGAATCCTTCTGTGAGTTCCAGGCAGATTGCCATCTTTCTGCTTCCGCCTCCTCACCTTTAAAATGGGGAGAATAACGGTAACCTGCCTTTTGGATGTGAGGATTAAAGGAGACAGTTGGTGCAAAGCAGTTGGCACAGGATCTGGCACAAAGTGAAGCCTTCAATAAATTATGATTACAGTAGTTTTGATTTCCCTGCAGTCGGAACAGAGTTTAGTTGAAGTGAGTGGCTATGTCACAGCGGTGTCTCAGGCTGGTGTCTGCCGCCCTGAGCTAAGCCATACAAATCCCTAGAATAACTTTTCAAAAGCCTGTTAGCCTCTTGAGGCTCCTACACTTCATGTTATTTTATTTTATTTTATTTTATTTTATTTTATTTTATTTTATTTTATTTTATTGCAGTAACAGTGGATCCTAACATTATGTAGCTTTCAGATGTACGTTGTAATATATTTCGAATTCTGTGTAGATTACATCGTGTTCACCACCCAAAAACTAATGATAGTCCGTCACCTCACATGTGAGCCTCATCACCCCTTTGGCTCTCTCCCCTCCCCCCTCCTCCTATGGTAACCACCAATCCAATCTCCGTTGCTCTGTGCGTGTTTGTCATTGTTTTTATCTTCTGCTTATGAGTGAGATCACACAGTGTTTGACTTTCTCCCTCTGATTTATTTCACTTCACATAATACCCTCAAGGTCCATCCATGTTGTCACAAATGGCCGGATCTCATCATTTCTTAGGGCTGAGTAGCATTCCATTGTGTATACATACCGCGTCTTCTTTATCCATTCTTCCCTTGATGGGCACCTAGGTTGCTTCCAAGTTTTGGCTGTTGTGAATAATGCTGCAGTGAACCTAGGGGTGCATGTGTCTTTCTGCATTGGTGTTTGCAAGTTCTTTGGATAAATACCCAGCAGTGGGCTAGCTGGATCGTATATATGGTAGATGTATTCTTAGTTTTCCGAGGATACTCCATACTGCTTTCCATAGTGGCTGCACCAGTCTGCACTCCCACCAGCGGTGTAGGAGAATTCCCTTCTCTCCACATCCTCTCCGACACTTGTCTCTTGTCTCGTTAATTAGAGCCATCCTGAGCAGAGTAAGGTGACCTCTCCTTGTAGTTTTGATTTGCATTTCTCTGGTGGCTAATGATGTCGAGCACCTTTCCATGGGCCTGTTGGCCATCCGTAAGTCTTCTTTGGAGAAATCACTGCTCAGATCTTTTGCCCGTCTTTTTAATTGGGTTGTTGATTTTTGTTGTTGTTGAGCTGTATGAGTTCTTTGTGTATTTTGGATATAAACCCCTTATCCGATATATGGTTTGCAAGTATCTTCTCCCAGTTGTTAGGTTGCGTTTTGGTTTTGTGGAGGGTTTCCTTTGCCGTGCAGAAGATTTTTTTTGCTTTGATGTGGTCCCATTTGTTCCTTTTGTGTTTGGTTTGCATTGCCCAGTCAGACGTGGTACTTGAAAATAGGCTGCTAAGACTGCTGTCAAAGAGCATACTGCCTATGTTTTCTTGTAGGCGTTGCATGGTTTCGGGTGTGACATTCAAGTGAAACCCGAGGAGGCTGCAGTTCCCTAGAGCGAGCGTAGCGGGGACCCTGCGTCCCTGTCAGCGCACCTTGCCTCTCCGCGGAGGTCCGAAGCAGCGTGTGGGCGGGGCCACAGGAGTTCTCCCAGGAGGGTGTCCCTGTCGCTGCTGTCCGCAGTCGAGCACCGGAGGGGGGGCGGGGCGGGGCAGCGGCCGGGGAGCGGGTGGGCGGCGGCGCGCGCGGGGAGCGCGCGCGGCTGCTGGGCCGCCGTCCGGGGAGGCGTCGGCGAGCCGCGCCTGCCTGGCCAGAGCCGAGCCCGAGCCCGGCGGAGTCCGGCCGCGCTCTGCTGCTCTCTCCCGGGCCGGGCTCCTCCGTCCGCCCGGCGTCCTTGTCCCCGCTGGGCACAGCAGCCCGGGCCCTCCACAGCCACGGCCGCTAGCCTGAGGAGGCCCTCCTTCAGCTCCCGCTCTCCCTGCTCGCCGGACACGGACGACCAGGGCGCCTGCGAAGATGATTCCATCTGGGAGAGGTACCTGGGGGCGTGGGCCTGGGGGCTGGTGGGAGGCGAGCGTGTCCCTCAGGAATAGGCTTGTGCGCCGACAGGTGCCCGTCAGGTGGCGGGACAGCTGTGCCGCGCGGGGAGCGAGGGGGTCTCTTCGGGCGCTTCACGCGTTCGCGGAACGGGCGGTGTGTGCCGGGCACCTGCCCAGGGGCCAGCCTGGGGATGCGGTGCCCGGGAGTCGGGCGCTGAAGCGGCCCCCGTGGTTTTGGCTTCTTGGAAGGACAGACGCGAAGTTGGTAAGGACACTGGTCTCGATGCGTTCTGAGGAGTGCAGGTCTCCCTCTTGTAGAGGCTACGTTCCTTTGGGGTTTTCGTGAAGCCTGTTGTGCCCCTGAAGCTCAGGCCGGTTCAGGGGAAGTGGCCTGTCGAGGGCCACATAATATTTGTGTGCAGAGCCAGTGCTTTCCAAAGCCCTTGACTGTGCAGAAGTCTACCTGCTAGGGGTGCAGTGGGGGCTGTCCGGGGAGCATTGTGAGCACAGGTATGTGTCCCCTGGTTTGAACTTTACCAGAATGTCCTATTTCTTTCTTTTACCGAATATGCTGTTCCTGAAATTCAGCCCCTGATGCTTATAACCGGTAGCTCTAGTCCATTTTCACCGCTCCCTAGTTTTCCGCACATTCCTTGCTTCACAACAAAGGCGAGCAGGTGTGCGAAGCCCACAGCACAGTTCCCGCCGTGAGTCAGCGCTCAGTCAACATTTGTTGAATGGAACTGAGCCCAGACTGAGTGTTAACAGCGACGCTTGGTTCCCCAGGCTGCATTCTCTGTCCTTTGCGCCGGGACCAAGGATCCTGTTTAATTCATTTTCAGTTGATTTTTGTGCATGGTGTAAGTTAATGGCCTACTTTCATTCTTTTCATGTGGCTCTCCGGTTTTCCCAACACCACTTATTGAAGAGACTCTCCTTGCTCTATTGTATGCTCTTGGCTCCTTTGTCGAATATTAGCTGTCCATACATGTGTGGGTTTATTTCTGCGCTCTCAGTTCCGTTCCATTGATCTGTGTGTCTGTTTTTCTGCCAGTACCATGCTGTTTTGGTTACTAGAGCTTCTTAGTATATGTTGAAATCAGGGAGTGTGATACCTCCAGCTTTGTTCTTTTTTCTCAGGAATCCTTTGGCTTTTCGGGGTCTTTTGTTGTTCCATATAAATTGTAGGATTCTTTGTTCTATTTCTGTAAAAAATGCTGTAACTTTGATAGGGATTGTGTTGAATCTGTAGATTGCTTTAGGAAGTATGGACATTTTAACTATGTTAATTCTTCCAACCCAAGAGCACAGAATATCTTTCCATTTCTTTGCATCTTCTTTGATTTCTTCCAACAATGTTTTACAGTTTTCGGTGTACAGATCTTTCACCTCTTTGGTTAAGTTTATTCCTAAGTATTTTATTATTTTTGTTGCAATTGTAAATGGGATTGTATTCTTAATTTCTCTTTCTGCTACTTCGTGTTAGCATATAGAAACACAACCGATTTTTTGCCTGTAGGGGATCAAGACACTCAGCCAATGCAGGCTGACAAGTAGCCTGAGGGCTTGCTGTTGGGTGGGGCAGGTCCCTAGGGCCGCCTGCCTGCCCTGGCTGAACTGGATTAAATCTGTGCTCTAGTGGGTATGGCAG